ACAAATTAACCCTAGGGAACACAAGTTCCCTAAGATGCTACAAAGTAGTAAGAGTTAATTTGTCATGCCACTGACCACTTCAAAAGTGCTCTGCAGCCATGCACGTGTGTCATGGTGTGGCTGTAGAGCATTTTCCAGGGGCCAATCACGTGACAAGCATGCCTTCTGTCTGTGGCCTCAGGGGTTATCTTTCAGGTACCATATGGAAAGATGCACATTAAGAGATAAGTATATTTCTTGGAGGAGTAACTAAGCTAGAAGATACTTTAACAAATGCCTGTAGGAAGCAAGCAAAAGAAAGTAAATTGGATTGAGCCTGGCAGACAGCCTGTTTTTGGAGAGCAAAACATGCCAGACTATTTCCTTCACATGGAAAAGCACTGCTTTGCAATGAGCTACTCCGGCTTAGGAGCTGCACTGCTTAGACCGTTGGCTCTTGGTACTCCAAAGCTTGCAGCTCCATCAGAAGCTTAAACTGGAGCGCTGATCCAAACGTGCCTCCCAGCACTAGTATATACAGCAAATCAGAGCGCTTCAGTTACCCGCTCTACCTCAGGTGGTCGTCTAGTCCAACCCCGCTCACGGCAGGATCATCCACGTGTAAACAAGCGCTTGCCTAACCTACTCCTAAGATTGTAAACCACCCTCTCGTACTACTACCAGAGATGCCTCAAACATGAAAAAAAACCCTAATTTGCCACAGATAAAGCAGGAGGATAAGGGAGATGTCAATGTCCAGCCACAACGAGGACAGGAAGTAGCTTGCTGCAATATGCTCAAGAGATCCAAGGTAGAGGAACGTGCCACATTCTCACCATGAAGGAAAACAAAATCCCACAGTCCATGGCAAACTCACGATGGGGTGAAATTCCTCCCTGATCCCAGACGTGGCTATTAATTTGATTCTGAGTAGAGAAGCAAGGCCCTCTAACCAGAAATCTCTGGATATTTTAAGTCCTAGCAAAAGCATTGGCACATAGCAGGCAAAGTGGAGTTTCCCCCATGCTTCTGCTGCTGAGCGTAACCCTCGCCAACTTCCACATGCTCGGGACTGCAGAGCTCTTCTCACAATCACGGAGCACTGAGTATGTGCTGGGGGGGTGTCTTGGACATCAACAAGAGATGTCCAAGAGACATCTCTTCACAGCACACAGTAGGCACTGCTAGCCCTACATCTTCTCTGACCAGTGCTTTTGAAAACCTTCAATGAAGGAGATCCCTTAGCTTCCCTAAAGCTACGATTCCTTAGCTTTCCCTCCAGTCTATGACACTGGCTCATTGTTCTAACAGTGAAAAAGTTTTTCCCCAATATCCAATCTAAGCCTACTTTGCTGAAATTTCAAGCCACTGTTATGCACCCTACTCTCTGTAGTGAGGGAGTAAAAGTGTTCTCCCTCTTTTTTTATGGCAGCCATGAATAACCATGCCTATTTCTCCCCTTGTGTGGCTCACCTTCCAAGTTCTTCATTATTTTTGTTCTGCCCCCCTTTTGGACCCCCTCAAATTATGTACATCCTTTTTCAAATGCTGAGCTCAGAACTGCACACAATACTCAAAATGAGGCCTAACCAGTGTCAAGTAGAGTGGTACTATAACCTCCCATGTCTTACAGCTAATACTGCTGTTGATGCAGACTAAAACGGGATTTGCCTTTTCTGTAGCTGCATTACATTGCTAATTTAGGTGTATAAACTATACATCCCAGGTTATTAGGTTAGTTTTAGGCAAAAGTTTTTGCCTAATTCCTGGACAGGACATCATAGAAGAGTCCAAGAAGGTTGGTCACCCCAGAGCAGCAAACAAGTTTTTCTAACTTGAGAATTTATTGTTTCCAGTCCTCAGACTGACTGCTGGATAGGGCTGTGCAAAACTTCACCAGCAGTTTTGTTTCAATGCTGTTTCGACTCGTTTCGAGCTCAAAACGAAACGGAGAGCTTTAAAAAAGCCTTGCAACAAAATAAGGCAAGTCGAAACGTTTTGAAATTTTCAAAACATTTCAAGTTTCGAAGCTCAAGCTGGGCTTGCCTGCAGGGAAACAGAAACTAAAGTAAGGAGAGAGAAGGGGAAGGGGGGGGGGGGGGGGACAGGAAAGGCCTGCTCTCATATTAACTGTGTAGCTGGTCAGTGACTGTGATCCTTCCCTGAGGTCCCTTCCAATCCTAGTGCTCTGGGGGAGGGATGGAAAAACTGCATGAAAGGCAGCATTGTTTGAACTGCCCTGCTTTCCGCCTTGGCGTCAGTTGAGTGAGGGCGGACCTTCACACACACACACACACACACACACACACACGCCACAAGTTTTGCCTGTCAGCAGCTAGAGGTGCAGGGCCCCAGAACCCAGAAGCCCTGCACCTATCTCCTTGAAAGCTGGCAGGCATCGTGGCCTCAGCAGGGGCTAGCATCCCTGCAGCTTTCACCCTGCTGTGCCTTAACACAGTGTCACCCATGTCACGAGTTGTGTTTGTCCACAGCTTGAGGTGCACTTTCCCCCAAACCCCTCCACCCATCTTCTTGAAACTTCGCAGGCCTCATTGCCTCAGCAGGGGCTAGCAAGCCTGCAGTTTTGACCCCACTGTGGCTTAACACATGCACGTGACATGAGTTTTTTGCTTTCAAGACTTGGAGGTGCAGTTTCCCTGAAACCCCTGTACCTAGCTCCTTGAAACTTGGCAGGCATCATGCTCTCAGAAGGGGCTACCGTCGAAACGGAACGGTGCCATTTCACACAGCCCTACTACTGGATTTACCAGCTATATAAACGTCCTATGTACACTACTTACTTGTATTCCCAAGTCAGTACTATTTTATTCTGCAAATTTACTGTGTAAACTGGAGAAGAGATTACAGCTTAAATTGTAAATAGAAACATGCAGCGGTCTTACCAAGGACCAGTATTTAATAGTACTGTATACCAAACTTCAGTTGAAACATTATTAAGCCCCCAGTATCCCTATGAGCTAAGAGGCTTACATTGCTGCAATCCGCTGACATTTTACAAAAGCCATAAAAAACTCTTAACTTCAACAGGCAGCAACAAGCCAAGGCACCTCAAGGCTTTTAGGAAAAGGAACCAAAACACTTTTGAAGTTCGCTGTCATATGGGCTATCAAAAAGTTGTCTAACCTGTTTTTCCCCAATATTTAGTCACTCTTTGCCTTCAGAGATTGCTTTTTTTTTTTTTTTTTTTTTTTTAAAGAAAGTAAAGAAAAGTCACTCCTCTGTACTTACCTGAAATAACGAGTCCTGTATAGAATGCACGTTTTCTTCCAAACCTTCAGAAAAGATTCTGGACATAGCCATACAGTGGGCCTCAACTGGTAGAGCAGAGCTGTACATTTTCTTTTTTTCATAATAGTAGAGAGCTACATAACATATAATCAGTTTTTGCATCCAGTGTCTGCACCCTAACTTTGTCTTTCTTCAAACCAGCAAACAAAGCTATACATGAATGTTAATTAGAGCAGAGACATGAGTTACATGAAATGCAAGAGAAACTCTCACAATTATGCCAAAAAAAAGTGTGGCTGCACATGTGCAAAGCATTCACTTGCACAATCACACACACCCACCACCCACACCTCTGAAGTCAAATATCCCTAAATCTATTAAACCTCTACTTTCCAAAAATGCTAACAGACTCAGCTTTTTTTCCTAAAGCTTCTCACACAGTCACACGTACAAAATCATGGGCTAGAAATGAAGGAGGAAAAAAATGCTTTTACATTTACACAAGACATTACCATACAACCCAACATTTCCATTTGTTCCCAGACATCCAGCAATGCTCTGGACCCCGAAATATCAATTTTTTTTCTATATTACATAATATAAAATACAATTTAGATGTACATTATTAACTCTGAACATAATTACATAGTAATTCTGGCCAGGCATCACAAGCAGCAGTGTGGGGACAACTGCCTGGCTGGAAGCCACACTTATGCCAATCTAATTGAACTGATAAGAACTAGGTAGTGACTTCAGATATGATATTAGCTTGAGATTGGATTGGGACTGTAACTGGCAATTGCAATGAACTGGAAATTGAACTAAATGATATAGATACAGATACACACACCCCTACCCCACCTATACATATCTATATAAAATGTAAAGCTATAGCAAAAAAATTGAGACAATGAGAAGACCTAAACTTCTGTACAGGCCTGCTTTATTTAGATTAAAAGGATAGACTTTCCCTTTTCTTCAAATTCCTATTGGACATTTAGGGCTAGGGACAGAAGTTACACATAAACCAGTTTAAGTCATCAGATACTGGTTTAAACCTGTAACAGAATAGAAGTTCAGTACAGATAAACCAGCTTCAAAATGGCTGAAACTGATTTAAGATAAACCTGGTTGAATGTAGTATCAGACTGAATGGATTTGG